CCCCAAAACCCCAAAACCCCAAAACCCCTTTTGTTCGAAAGGAATTGAAACTCAAAAAATTGATATCTTTAAGAGATAAGAAGTTTGAGAGAGAGCTAACACTATATATTTTTGAATTATGCAGAGAAATTCTTGATTGGTGAGAAAAGAATAGAGCGAGACAATCATGAAGTATAATCCCCTACTACATCTACTTCTACCTTCTTTGTCTTCTAATCTCTCTTCCTTACACATTTCATTTGGTCTTTCTAAATCCTTCTTTATTTACCTTCTTCTGGCTTAGCTTCAATCCTTCACTGTTAACTCTCTTAGAAAGTATCTTCTTCTCAGGTTGGACTTCAAAACTACCCTTAATAGAATACAGGTACCATTTTGAAGGGTTTAGGCCTGATAATAGGTAAATGTCAGGGATAGGGTCATAGTTCAAAATGGCAATCTTTTCAAGAGTAGGAATGTTGGTCGTTAAGAAAGAGAGAAGGATTTGGATTCAAGGGTGTTTGTAGTACCAGTCTTTGATGTTGTGACTCCAACAGTATTCGAGATTTATACGGTGAATGGAGGTGTTTGGGAGGGAGAGAGTGGGGAATTGGTCACAAGCGAAAGCACAGTAGGTGAAGTTGAAATCAAGCACGGTTTTGCCGATCTGGATCATTTTTGCAAGCTTATTTTGCACTAAAGATTACTCTAGTTAATGAGACAGTCACAGTTCATCTAGAGATCAGATTGAAAAAATGTCTTTCTTTAGGTATTTTTATTTCTTTATTTGGTTTACAAATGCGGAATATTTCTTGATTTAAGATATTCCCATTCTTATATTTTAATTCTTGAATCAAGTTTACATTCACTCCCGAATTATTCCTGAGCAACTTATTAAGAACATTATTCTCTACCTTCGTTATTTCCCTGACTTTAAAAGAAAAAATAACATTCTTTAAACCAATTTTGCTCCAATGGCCCCAAGTATTGATTCAATGAAAACCCTTCGCTCTGTATTTAAACAATAATCTCAATTCTCAAATTCTTGCCTTTTCTCTCCTTCTGAAACCCCTCCAATAACCTCACTTCACATTCTCTATCCTTCTCTGCTACACTCTTCCCAAAACCTTCATCACCTACCTCCATCTTAAATTTCAACTACACCCCCTAAAAACGGGGTTTTGGGGTTTTGGGGTTTTGGGG